AACATATTCTGTTGGTTTATGGGTTGACTACTGTGTCTTTGGTGTTTCTGTCTTTGAGGATCCTAACGATGTCCGTAGGTAAGCTAAATAAATCTTTCATACTTTGAAACTGTAAATTTGTGGGACAACTGCCTTTTTTTCCTTTGTTTATGGTCTTGGAACCTGGTAACATTTCTTATACCTTAATATTAGTTTCTTCTATGTATGTTTATAGTTTTGAATCAGCTTTAGTAAAGAAATGTCTCCTTTCTGAACTAGGAAGACTGACAAATTTTAGTAGTTATTGAGGGATCAATATTGAATACCAGTTAACTGTTTATATCCTTAAAATTGCAGTTTTTTTTTAAATAAAAAGTGTAAGGTATATATTAATAAAGTACCAAAACGGAGGTACCACCTATGTACAAAATATTTATAATTGTGTTAGTATATTTATGACATTTGCAAAATTCACATCACTAATAATATCATGACCTAATAAGATAGAGTTAAAATAATGCATCCACTATTTTTGAATTTACTGTTATAACTTTCGACACTATCAAAAACTCTACTATTCCTCTCTTTCTAAATAATCCAGAATATAGTTAAAGGTATTAAATTAACAATCCTTCTTTTACATAAACCATTCCACGCCCAAATCTCCTCCCTAACCGACCCAGTAATAACCCAATCAATCCCTAAAAGGCCATAAATCATGCACCACAAGCTGTAAACAGTAGGGCACCACAGAAGAAGATAATTGCACGACTCCTCTGCCTTCAACCAACAGTAACAACCATTCACCACATACTGTCCTCTGCTTCTCAGTTTGTCCAAAGTTAAAAGTTTCTCCCAACACGCCTCCCAGGCAAAAAAAGCAACCCGAGGAGGGGCCTTTGTTTTCCAGATTTGATTAGCCGGAAAAATTCTACTAGCAACACCATTACTGCATAAATGTCTATAAAAGGAGCTGACAGAAAATTTCCATTATTTTCCAGTTTCCACCAAATCTGATCCTCCTCATCAGCGATCTGTTGACCCGCTAGAATCAGCCGTTCTTCAAACTCCCCCAACGCCCAATCATTCAGGTTCGGTTCATGTTAATCGACAAGTCTACATTCCCATTTGAAACAAAATAGGCCTCCTCTACAACCATATTCTTAGATTGGGCAATATTGTAAATTCTGGGGAATCTACTCTTGAGGCATCCCTCACCAACCCAGTTAAAATTGCAGTTAGGATTCCCTTCATTTGTATGTAGCTCTTTTTAAAAGAAGGTGAACATCTGTTCTGAGCAGATTATGGTAAAATGTAGACAATGACAAGGAATGATAACCAAGCATATCATATTCTATATATTTCTTGTGGTTGTTTCATGGATTTGATTTTCCTTGTAGGTCTAATGCCACCCTATATTCTCTTTTCAATATAATAAAATAACAGAGTTCATTCTCGCTCTCTCTCTCTTTCTATTTTCCTTGTAGGTCTAGTGCCACCTTATATTATCATTTCAATATAATACAACAGAGTTCATTCTATCTCTTTCTCTCTCTCGTCTGAATGTGTTTTTATGTGTTTGTACATATAGGATTCAAACTTTCTCTCTGTTCAGAGTACAGTTTGGTGGTTGGTTTAATATTTGGATAGCTATGAAGTACACTTGGTATACTTCTCTACACACCTTCTCTATGGTGGAGATGTTGAAAATTGGTTTCATGGAATCCAACAATCTCTCTTTTTTTTTTTTGAAATAAAAGTATAAAAATGTATTATTCACAATGGTACCAAAGGGTATAACCCGTATACATATTATTAACAGGTCAATAAGGTAATCAATGACATCCCGAAAATCATCAATCCTATCAATATCATGACCCACAAGTATAGAACCAAAAATGTGGAGCCATCTATCTCTAATATTATCCATCTCTTTCTCAATACCCTCAAAAGCTCTAGCATTTCTCTCTTTCCGCACAACCCAAAAAATAGAGAGAGAAATTAGTAATAAAAAGTGTTTCTTTTCACACAAGCCCGCCCAAACACACAACTCATCTCTAATCGATCAGCCATTACCCAATTAATTCCCAAAAGACTTTACACCATGGTCCAAATATAAAAATCATAGGGCACCAAAGAAGGATGTGATGGCAAGATTCCTCCTGCATTTGACATAAAAAACATCAATTAACCACCTGTTCAGCTTATCAATTGTCAAAATGCAATTCTTACTTGTTTCCCAAGCAAAGAAAACAACTCTAGGAGGGGCATTCGTCTTTCGCATCTGTTTTGCCAGAAAAGGAACATCCTCATTGCCATGTCCACAAGTTAAGTGCTTGTAGAAATTCTTATCCAAAAAAATTCCATATTTACTCAGTTTCCACATCAGCTAATCATTACAATTCTCAAGTGGGATTTTTGATAGCATAAGCAACAGTTTTTCATATTCCTCGACCTCCCAGTCGTTCAAGTTTATGATTACATTCACGGACCATTCCCTCCTACCACTCACCTCCTCATAAGTCTTCTCCACCACCATATTTCTAGAAGTAGCAATGACTAAAATATTCGGGAAATGATCCTTTAACCTACCCACACCAACCCACTCATTCAACCAAAACCAATTCTATCACCCTTTCCCACCTTTCATTGTGTACAATCAAAAATTGTTGGCTTCCCATGCTGATTGTTTTCCATAAGCTCATGCCATGCAGTCTGTACACATTTCTGAGTTCCCCCTGCCCATCCATTTTACCCCACTGAGCCTCCATAACCCTTCTCCATAGTCTCCATTCTTCTCTAGTAAATCTCCACAACCATTTTTCTTGAAGAGCAGTGTTCATCTCAACAATTGATCTCACCCACCTTTATACAATGGTTTCTTCACATTGTCCCATTTCACAAGGTGAAATTTTCTATTGCCTTCATCATCACCTCAGAGGAATCTACATTGAATATTTTCTAATTTCCTAGCAATCTTAATTGGCATTGTCAAGACAGAAAAATAGTTCATCTTCCATCCAAGTAGTCTTCT